TTGAGACAAGAGATTGAGTCCCAAATCGGAGACCGAATGCCAACACATGAGGACAGGAATCGATGCCATTATGTCATGGCTTTTATTGCAGAGACACTGCGGGCCAGAAATGTCGTGCCCACTGGACTCCCACATAAAGCTATTGTTAATACAAAACTTGGTAATAAATTTTAAATAATACTTTTTATTAATTTTAATATATTACACGTTTTCATAACAAAATTTTAGATAAATATACAATACCTGAAAATATGGGAGTTTGGGTATATCAGGGAATTGTTTGCTCTAATAATAAAGACTGGCAAAATGAACGTGAATTCAAACCCGAGAGATTTATTGATAGTGAGGGACAATACATGACAACCCGTCCCAAAGCATACATACCCTTTGGTGTGGGCCGTCGTGTCTGTCCGGGCGAAAGGCTGGCCATCGCTGACCTGTTCCTGGTTTTGGTCCGATTTCTTCAATTAACACAAGACTATGAGATAATCCTCGACAGTAACGGCGGTATAGATCCTAACCCTGATATCACTGATCAATTAGCGCCTTATCCTTATAAAATTAAATTTCATAAACGTTAAAATTATTTATACATATTTAATAAAATAAATTGAGGTTTTTTCAATAATAATAGTCAACCTAGTTTCTATTGAATGTTAACACAATTACTTATCACCAGATAATATAATTTAAATTGTTACCTAATTTTAATATTGTCTGATATATAATATCCTTAATAAACGCAAATTAACAAAATTGTTTTAAATTAACTTGGTGCATTTTTAATAGTTTAGCAAAACTTTAGCTGTATCTATTGATGTTTGAAAATGATTATGGTTTTGATAAATAAATGGTGCTTATTAAAACTAATTTTAGTAATTATTTATTTTTAATTGTTTATTAAGCTTTACTGTTTAATGATATTTAATTAAGTTTTAAATAAGTATCTTGTAAAATAAAATACATAATTTAAATTAAATTTTAAAAAACATAAACATAATAGATTTTAAAATTATTTATTAATTATTAAAAATAGAAATTATGTATAGATTGCAAGGATTTATAAAATAAAGTTTAATTATAAATATTTGTAATTTTGCACATAAATTACATTTAAGTTATTGAACTGCAAACAACAATATAATTGATACAACACATCATTATTTTACGTAATAAACATCATTTTAAGTCTAACCTGTCTTTAATGCACTAGAATTCTATACATGAAAGTTCTACAGTATATTGGGTTCTCAATTAGACTACTTCTACATTATAGTGTTGTATTATGCGACCAAGGTTATCTCACGAGGGCCATGCAAGTTTTTGCCAATTCACAATTAAATTTAATTCAGTTGTACATGTAGATTGGACCAAATAAAAAATATAAATATTATATCTCGGGCTGATAGCCACAAACTCGCGAGATATGACCATTCTAGTGATTCCGCGTATACGGCGTATAGCATTGAAAAAAGGTGTTTCACACAGTGCTTGGGCTAATCACCAGTACTGCATTGCTATATGCTGTATGGGCGCGATCACTAAAATGGTCATATCTCGGCCGTTTGTGGCTATCAGCCCGAGATATATAATTTATATTTTTTATTTGGTCCAATCTACATGTACAACTGAATTAAATTTAATTGTGAATTGGCAAAAACTTGCATGGCCCTCGTCAGTGCAATAATTATTAAACATATTTTGTCACTAAATACAAATATCTGAGTTAAAAATAACTTATTACATATTAACTAACTTATATAATTGAGTAACTAGAATAGTTTAATTAATAAGGGTTAGTTGATTAATATGCATATAATTTAGTTTATGTATGAATACATGGTTCTACCATGTTCTGTCATTAACAAACTGTTGATAAGTTATAATAAATAAACTTTTTAAGTGCATCAAGTTTGTTATTGTTAACAAACAATAATTATTTATCTTCAAGGATAAGAAGATAAGAAATTCCATGATTTTTTGCATATAAAAGAAGTAGAGTATTAATATTTTGTCTGTATTCAAATGAAAGAGCTATAAATATAAACGTCAAGTTTTAATTTTATATTTATAATCTATCAGCTATTAATTTAGTTAAATTTAATATACATAACAACGTTTTTGCATAGGAATTATCAACATTCATTTTGTGATCATTATATTATACCAAAATATGACTTTATTAACAAATATGATGTCACTATTAGTGACTGACATCCGCACGTCTTTAATAACCATAACCATCGGTTATATTGTGTATAAATTGGCAAAGTTTTATCATTTGAGATCTAAACTACCTCCCGGTCCGCATCCCATTCCGTATTTGGGCAATATATTGTGTAAGTAAATCACTAAATAATATAAATATTATTTTATTAATAAAAGTTAGATTTTTTAAACAGCATTCAAATGTAAAGATCATTGGGATGTTGTGTTCCGACGAATGGCTAAAAAGTATGGCCCCGTATTTACCATCTGGTTGGGGCCAAAGCCACAAGTGATGATAACTGACATTGATTTAGCCCGAGAGGCGTTCAGGAAGAATGATATGGCCGGTCGTCCCGAGTCTTATTTTGGTAACAAATTAATTAATATTGTTTTATAAATGTAGATTGTTTTAATTCTATTTAAGATGGTTACTAATCAAATAATTATCATTAATAGGGTCTCAATTGTCAAACGAGAAATACCAAGATGTAGTGTTTACTGATTACGGACACACGTGGGAGGCATTAAGACGTGTGGCTCATTCGGCCCTACAGTAGGCGATAAAATAAATACATTAAGATTTATATAAACGCTAATAATTTTGCAATTTATTTGACAAATATTAGAAAATACTCAGTAAACGAAAGATTGGTTTCTGTGGCCACCGATTGTGTCGACAAAACTGTTAAAACAATTTTTGCTAAGGAAGGAGTAGACAAACCCTTTTCACCCGTGGATTACATATATTTAATGTTTTTGAATATCTTAGCCACGAGTACTGTCGGACAAAAGTAAGTAATTTTATACAATATCAAACTTCTAATAATAATATTCGACTGTAAAATATTTAATTGTATTATAATTTTAACTAATTTATAGCTACGATATCGAGGACAAGGAATTTAAACATTTTAAATATGTGTTACGCGATTTTAATCGTGAAGTTGGGAATCGGGTTCTATTGTGGGAATTCTCACCATTAATAAGATTTATGGACAAAACATTAGTTGCAAAACAACGAAAGATATTCAATGAATCTGTGGATATCATCAAAAAGAAATATATCAAACATTACGACGACTATAACGAGTCAATTGAGAGAGATTTTTGCGATGCACTCATCAGTGCTAAGAATGACGCCCTCAGAGACGGCAAAGAATCCGCACCCTATCTGACCGATGATAACCTCTCGATGACTATCTTTGACATGTTCTTCGCCGGAACCGATACCTCTCAGCAGACATTTCAATGGCTTTTGCTATTTGTTTGCTATTATCCAGAAATGCAGCAGAAGTTGAGACAAGAGATTGAGTCCCAAATCGGAGACCGAATGCCAACACATGAGGACAGGAATCGATGCCATTATGTCATGGCTTTCATCGCAGAGACACTAAGAACGAGAAACGTCGCGCCCACTGGTGTTCCCCATAAAGCCCTTGTTGATACTAAACTTGGTATAATATTTAATTACATAAACACAATATAATTCAGTTTTATTCAACAATAATTTTCTATCAATATTTTAGATAAATACACAATACCTGAAAATATGGGAGTTTTTGTATACCAGGGAATCATTTTACGAAATGATAGCGATTGGGAAAATGCCGATGAATTCACACCCGAGAGGTTTATTGATAGTGAGGGACAGTTCATCACAACCCGTCCCAAAGCGTTCATCCCCTTCGGTGTGGGCCGTCGTGTCTGTCCGGGAGAGAAGTTAGCCATCGCTGACCTGTTCCTGGTTTTGGTCCGATTTCTTCAGTCCACACAAGACTATAATATAGTGCTCGACAGTAACGGCGGTATAGATCCCGACCCTAACGTTGCCGACAATATAGCCCCTGCAGAATATAAAATTAAATTGGTTAAATTGTAATTGATTGAATTTTTATCATTTAAGTTATTTTACATTTTATATCATTTTTAACAATTTAAAATAATAAAATCATGTACATAATTAATCCAAATAAACGACTAAATAAATTAAAATAAAAATCAATATTATAAATACTTAACTTTAACCTAGATTGTATTTTGACTTTTATTGGCGAAATAATAATATTTTATGAATTTTATATTTTTGTTGTCTGACACAGTTTGCCTATATGGCTGTTTATAAAAATTGCCGAATATATTTTATGAATTAACCTATCATGTATTATATATTAACTAATTTATATAATTAAGTAACTAGAATAGTTTAATTAATATACGTTAATTAATTAATAGGCATATAATTTAATTTAGTTATGCCTACATGGTTATGCCATTTACTTTCATTAACAAACTGTTGATAAGTTATAAATAATTTTTTTTAAGTACTTCAAGTTTGTTATTATTAACAATAATTTATTTTCAAGGATAAAGAGATAAATAATTAAACGATTTTTTGCATATAAAAACCGTATAGTATTAATATTTTGTGTGAATTCAAATAACAGTTATTATTTGAAATAAGTACGCTATAAATAAAAACTATTATATAAGATAAATGTTAATCCGATCAGCTATAAATTTAGTTAAATTTATTATACATAACAAACTCGTTTTTTCATAAAAATTATCAGCATCAAATTCTGTGATCATTATATTATACCAAAATATGACTTTATTAACAAATATAATGTCATTATTAGTGACAGACATTTACACGACTATATTAACGTTAACAATCGGTTATATAGTGTATAAATTGGCAAAGTTTTATCATTTGAGATCTAAACTACCTCCCGGTCCGCATCCCATTCCGCTTTTGGGTAATATGATGTGTAAGTAAATCACTAAAAAATATATTAATATTGTTTGAAGGTTATAAAGGTGTAATTTTTTAAGACAGTATTTAAATGCAAAGATCATTGGGATGTTGTGTTCCGACGAATGGCTAAAAAGTATGGCCCCGTATTCACTATCTGGTTGGGAACAAAACCACAAGTTATGATAACTGACATCGATTTGGCCCGAGAGGCGTTCAGGAAGAATGATATGGCCGGTCGTCCCGAGTCTTATTTTGGTAACAAATTAATAAATATTGTTTTTTAAATGTAAATTTATTATCCTATTAAGATGGTTATTTATCAAATAATTATCATTAATAGGGTCTCAATTGTCAAATGAGAAATACCAAGATGTGGTGTTTACTGATTACGGACACACGTGGGAGGCATTAAGACGTGTGGCTCATTCGGCCTTACAGTATGCGATAAAATAAATGCATAAATTCTATGCAAATGTTAATAATTTTGCAATTTATTTGGAAAATGATAGGAAATACTCAGTAAACGAAAGATTGGTTTCTGTGGTTACCGATTGTGTCGACAAAACTGTTAAAACAATTTTTGATAAGGAAGGAGTGGACAAACCCTTTAAACCCATTGATTACATTTATTTATTGTTTTTAAATATCTTAGCCACGAGTACTTTCGGACAAAAGTAAGTAATTTTATGCAATATCAAATTTCTGATAGTAATATTTAATTGTAAATAAATATTAAAATTTTATTTAATTTTAACTAATTTATATTAACAGCTATGATATAGAGGACAAAGAATTTAAACATTTTAAATATGTTTTACGCGATTTTAATCGTGAAGTCGGGAATCGGGTTCTATTGTGGGAATTCTCACCATTAATAAGATTTTTGGACAGAAAATTAGTTACAAAACAACAAAAGATATTCAATGAATCCGTGGATATCATCAAAAAGAAATACATAAAACATTACTACGACTATAACGAGTCAATTGAGAGAGACTTTTGCGATGCACTCATCAGTGCTAAGAATGACGCCCTCAGAGACGGCAAAGAGTCCGCACCCTATCTGACCGATGAGAACCTTTCGATGGCTATCTTTGACATGTTTTTCGCCGGAACCGAAACCTCTCAGCAGACATTCCAATGGATTGTACTTCTGATGACATACTATCCGGAAATGCAGCAGAAGTTGAGACAAGAGATTGAGTCCCAAATCGGAGACCGAATGCCAACACATGAGGACAGGAATCGATGCCATTATGTCATGGCTTTCATCGCAGAGACTTATTTAAAAACAGACAAAATATTAATACTTTACAACTTTTATGTGCAAAAAATCATTGAATTTTATATCTTTTTATCCTTGAGTCCCAAATCGGAGACCGAATGCCAACACATGAGGACAGGAATCGATGCCATTATGTCATGGCTTTCATCGCAGAGACCATGAGATTCAGAAATGTTGTGCCCACTGGACTCCCACATAAAGCCATTGTTAATTCAAAACTTGGTATAATATTTTATTACATGAATACATAAAATTCAGTTTTAGTCAACAATTATTTTTTATCACTATTTTAGATAAATACACAATACCTGAAAATATGGGAGTTTTTGTATACCAGGGAATAATTTTACAAAATGATAGCGATTGGGAAAATAGCGATGAATTCAAACCCGAGAGGTTTATTGATAGTGAGGGACAATACATGACAACCCGTCCCAAAGCGTTCATACCCTTCGGTGTGGGCCGTCGGGTCTGTCCGGGAGAGAAGTTAGCCATCGCTGACCTGTTCCTGGTTTTGGTCCGATTTCTTCAGTCCACACAAGACTATAATATAGTGCTCGACAGTAACGGCGGTATAGATCCCGACCCTAATGTTACCGACAATCTATCACCTCCAGAATATAAAATTAAATTGGTTAAATTGTAATTTATTAAATTTTTATTATTTAAATTATTTTATATTTTATATCATTTTTAACAATTTAAAATAACATAATCATGTACATAATTAATACAAATATACGACTAAATATTTTCAAATAAAAACCAATATTATAATCAGGAACATCTAGGCTACATATTTCTAGTCAATAGGATGTATTGTAATGATTAATTATAGTATTTTATAGTTTAACTTTGGTTAATAGCTGGTGTTTCATTATTTTGACTATTACTAATTGGTTAATATTCACCATACAGTATACACTCGCACATAAAAAGGCGCGATAGGGACATGAGTGGGACATACGGCTGTTGAAGATTATAATTAATTAACTTTAATTTAGACTATGTTTTGACATTGTAGTGGTGAAATAATGATATTTTAATGAATTTTATATTATTGTTATTTGAAACAACTCATCAATTGAATGTTTATGAAAAATTATCAAATATATTTTTATGAAGTAGTTTATCATGTGTTATATATTAACTAATTTTTTAATTAAGTAACTAGAATAATTTAATTAATAATGGTTTGTTGATTCATATGTATAATTTAGTTTATTTATGCCTACATGGTTATGCCACTTTCTTTCATTAACAAACCGGTGATAAGTTATCATAAATAATTTTTTTAAGTGCATCAAGTTTGTTATTATTAACAAATAATAATAATTGATCTTCAAGGATAAAAAGATATAAAATTCAATGATTTTTTGCACATAAAAGTTGTAAAGTATTAATATTTTGTCTGTTTTTAAATAAGAGAGCTATAAATATAAACTATTATATAAGTTAAGTTTTAAACCGATCAGCTATAAATTTAGTTAAATTCAATATACATAATTAGTTTGTTTTTGCATAATTTAATCGCATCAGCATTTAATTCTGTCATCATTATATTATACTAAAATATGACTTTATTAACAAATATAATGTCATTATTAGTGACAGACATTTTCACGTCTATAATAACAATAACCATCGGTTATATTGTGTATAAATTGGCAAAGTTTTATCATTTAAGATCTAAACTACCTCCCGGTCCGCTTCCATTACCGCTTTTGGGTAATATATTATGTAAGTGAATTGCGTACAAATATTAAAATTGTTTAATTTATAAAGGTTTAATTTTTAAAAATAGTATTCAAATGCAAAGATCATTGGGATGTTGTGTTCCGACGAATGGCTAAAAAGTATGGCCCCGTATTCACTATATGGTTGGGAACTAAACCACAAGTTATGATAACTGACATCGATTTAGCCCGAGATGCGTTCAGGAAGAATGATATGGCCGGTCGTCCCGAGTCTTATTTAGGTAATACATTAATTAATATTGTTTTTTGAATGTAGATTTTTTATTTTATTAATATGTAGGATGGTTATTTATTAAATATTTATCATTAATAGGGTCTCATTTTTCAAACGAGAAATACCAAGATGTGGTGTTTACTGATTACGGACACACGTGGGAGGCATTAAGACGTGTGGCTCACTCGGCATTACAGTATGTGATAAAATAAATGTAGAAATTCTATATAAATGCTAATAATTTTGAATTTATTTGATAAATGATAGGAAATACTCTGTTAACGAAAGATTAGTTTCTGTGGCCACCGATTGTGTCGACAAAACAATTAAAACAATTTTTGATAAGGAAGGAGTGGACAAACCCTTTTCACCCATTGATTACATTTATTTATTGTTTTTAAATATTTTAGCCACGAGTACTGTGGGACACAAGTAAGTAATGCAATATCAAACTTTTGATAATAATGTTTAATTGTAAATCAGAATTAAAATTTTATTCTTTGACTAATTTATAGCTATGATATCGAGGACAAGGAATTTAAACATTTTAAATATATTTTACGAGATTTTAGTCGAGAAGTCGGGAATCGTGTTATATTGTGGGAATTCTCACCAGTAATTAGATTTTTGGACAAAAAATTGGTTGCAAAACAACGAAAGTTATTCAATGATTCCATTGATATCATTAAAAAGAAATATATCAAACATTACGACGACTATAACGAGTCAATTGAGAGAGACTTTTGCGATGCACTCATCAGTGCTAAGAATGACGCCCTCAGAGACGGCAAAGAGTCCGCACCCTATCTCACGGATACCAACCTTTCAATGGCTATCTTTGACATGTTCTTCGCCGGAACCGATACCTCTCAACTGACTTTTCAATGGATTTTACTATTTGTTTGCTATTATCCAGAAATGCAGAAAAAGTTGAGACAAGAGATTGAGTCCCAAATCGGAGACCGAATGCCAACACATGAGGACAGGAATCGATGCCATTATATCATGGCTTTCATCGCAGAGACACTAAGAACGAGAAACGTCGCGCCCACTGGTGTTCCTCATAAGGCTCTTGTTGATACTAAACTTGGTATAATTTTTTAACATAAATACTTATAATTGAATTTTATTCAACAATAATTTTTATTAATATTTTAGATAAATACACAATACCTGAAAATATGTCAGTTATGGTATACCAGGGAATCATATGTCGTAATAACAAGGATTGGCAAAATGCCGATGAATTCAAACCCGAGAGGTTTATTGATAGTGAGGGACAATACATGACAACCCGTCCCAAAGCGTTTATACCCTTCGGTGTGGGCCGTCGTGTCTGTCCGGGAGAGAAGTTAGCCATCGCTGACCTGTTCCTGGTTTTGGTCCGATTCCTTCAGTTTACACAGGACTATGAGTTAGTGCTCGACAGTAACGGCGGTATTGAACTCAACCCAAATACACCCGAAACCTTGGGTCCTCCAGATTATAAAATTAAATTGGTTAAATTGTAATTTATTAAAGTTTTGTTATTTAGATTATTTTACATTTGATATTAATTTTAACAATTTAAAATAATAGAATCATGTACATAATTAATACTGTACAAATAAACGACTAAATAATTTCAAATAATAATCAATATTATAATTACTAAACTTTAATCTAGATTGTGTTTTCACTTTTATTAGTGTAATATTATTGTTATCGACACAGCTCATCAATATAGACTTATAAAAATGATCGAGTATATTTTTATGAAGTAACCTTTCATGTGCTGTTTGTTTTATCAATTTTATGTAACTACCTTTAATTACCAATTGTTATATAAAAAGCTTCGCGATTGTAATCATTAAATGATGTTAATCAGTCTAAATCAGTGTACATTAAATTACATACATTATAACCGCAATGTTATAATTCCATGATACTGTTTTAGATAATATTTACGGTACATTTATTATTTCTATTACTCTCTGTATAAAATACAGGCATCGCTGACCTGTTCCTCGTTTTGTATAATATTTTGAGTCCACACAACACTATGATATAGTACTCAACGGTTACTAAAGTAAAACCTAATGACACCGACGATATGTTGATCCAGAATATAAAACCAAATTAAATAACTTATATTTTATATTATAGAATCTATAGTAAACTTTATATTATTTTATTAGTAATTTTATCATATTTTGACATTAATTTTAATATTGTTTTATATATTTTTAACCGTGTAGTGTTTATTTTGAATTAACAGTTATGAGTAGTTTTATTTGACATATGTTAATTGTAAAAATTATAATCTATTTTAAATTGTAAACATCATATCTAATATTTTTCATATTAAAATTTTTGACTATATAAATTGAACTCTTAACTTGGTGCAATCTAAGATTACACAAAAACATAAATTATTATACAAAACTTATACAGTAAATGAGTTTTAAGTTTACCTTGCCCTTTGTGTACTAAAACTATATGCATTCAAGTATACCATACAGTGCTATAGTCCAAAGATAATAGAAAAACATATCTATTAAAACACACATAAGTAATATCAGCCTTGAATGATAATGAGAAAAAGTATTTAACTTTTTTGTATATAAAGTCACAAACGATTAGTTAATATTTCATTCAATTAAGCTATAACTTGTGTATAACTTTAATACAAATTCGATCAGCTTTTAGTTACATTTAATTTGCAAACTTGCCTTTTAAACTAACATTACTTAAATTTAAAACTGTAATAAATTCATTTTGACTAAATATGTTTTTACTGACAAATATAATGTCACTATTGGTGACAGACATTCGCACGTCTATAATAACGCTAACCATCGGTTATATTGTGTATAAATTGGCAAAGTTTTATCATTTGAGATCTAAACTACCTCCCGGTCCGCATCCATTACCGTTCCTGGGCAATATATTATGTATGTAAATCACTACAAAAATTATTAATATTGTTTAATTAATAAATGTTCGCTTTTTAAAACAGTATTCAAACGCAAAGATCATTGGGATGTAGTGTTCAGAGAATTGAAACAAAAATACGGCCCGATATTCACTGTCTGGTTGGGAAATACACCTCAAGTGATGATAACTGACATCGATTTGGCGAGAGATGCCTTCAGGAAGAATGATATGGCCGGTCGTCCCTCACCCGCCGAGTCTTATTTTGGTAATTATTAATTATTATTATAAATAATTATTATATAATATTTTTAATACTGAATTTAATGATTAAAAAGGGTCTCAATTGTCAAATGAAAAATATCAAGACGTGGTGTTCACTGATTACGGGCCTCAATGGGAAGCGTTGAGACGAGTTGCACATTCGGCCGTACAGTATGTAACTTGAAATTTATAAAAATCCATTTATTTTAACTATTGTTTCTAAAATCATAGAAAATACTCAGTAAACGATAGATTGATTACTGTGGCCACCGATTCAGTCGATCGTACGGTTAAAGCCATGTTAGAGAGGGAAGGAGTGGGGAAACCCTTTTCGCCCATTAATCACATTTATTTAATGTTTCTAAATATTTTAGCCACGAGCAATTTTGGAGAAACGTAAGTAATTTTTCTCGAAATATATTAGATTAAAATATTAATGCATTAAATTTTAACAACATTTAGCTATGACATGGAGAACAAAGAATTTAAAAGTTTTAAATATCTTTTACGGGATTTTGCCAAAGAAGTCGGGCCTCGGTTTCTAATGTGGGAATTCTCACCATTAGTTAGATTTTATGACAAAAAATTGGTTACAAAACATGGACGTTTATTCGCAAAGGCGATTGATATTGTTAAAGGAAAATATATCAAACATTACGACGACTATAACGAGTCAATTGAGAGAGACTTTTGCGATGCACTCATCAGTGCTAAGAATGACGCCCTCAGAGACGGCAAAGAGTCGGCCCCTTATCTCACGGATACCAACCTTTCAATGGCTATCTTTGATATATTCATTGCCGGAACCGATACCTCTCAACTGACATTCCAATGGATTCTACTTCTGATGACATACTATCCAGAAATGCAACAGAAGTTGAGACAAGAGATTGAGTCCCAAATCGGAGACCGAATGCCAACACATGAGGACAGGAATCGATGCCATTATGTCATGGCTTTCATCGCTGAGACCATGAGATTCAGAAATGTTGTGCCCACTGGACTTCCGCATAGAACTCTTGTTGATACAAAACTTGGTAATAAATTTTAACTAATCTAAATTACTTAATATTTGTAAATTTAACTACTGCATATTAAAGATATTATATTTTCATTTTAGATAAATACACAATACCTGAAAATATGTCAGTTATGGTATACCAGGGAATCGTATGCCGTAATGACAAGGATTGGCAAAATAGCAATGAATTCAAACCCGAGAGGTTTATTGATAGTAAAGGACAATACATGACAACCCGTCCCAAAGCATTCATCCCCTTCGGTGTGGGCCGTCGTGTCTGTGCGGGGGAGAAGTTGGCCATCGCTGACCTGTTCCTGGTTTTAAGTCGATTTATTCAGTCCACACAAGACTACAATATAGTGCTCGACAGTAACGGTGGTATAGACTATAATCCAAATGCTGTCGAAAACTTGGGTCCACCAGAATATAAAATTAAATTTGTTAAATTGTAATTTATTGAATTGTTTGTCATAAAAATTATTTTACATTTTATATTATTTTTAATATTTGTAATTATTTAAAGTTATAAAGTCATTCACATAATTAGTACAAATTAACGACTAAACTTATTTGATTCAAAATCAATATTAAAATTACATAATATTAACTCTACATTTTGTTTGCTATTTTTACAACTATTGATACTTCTAGTGTAGCTAGGATAATGAGGATAATTTTATAATTTAAGGTAACATTCCTATGCACCAGAAACTAAGTGTCATAAAGGATACTTGGTTTTTACATTAGAAATTTTTAAAATGTATCAGTTGGAATTAAAAAAATTTAGCTCAAAATATTTTACTTATAATAATAATAATAGTTTATTAAATTTAAGAACATGCCTGAAATAATACACGAGTATTTATAAAAACAAGTTAATTTGCTTAAAAAATTGAATTGAAATTCGATTGAAAATATTTTTACAATACATATGTTTGGAGTTATTATTTGGTTATTTGTGTTCACTATTTGTTATCCGACAACAGTTTAGAGCAGTTGTCTCGGCATTAATTATAACGGGAGTCAAAACGGGTCGACTACTGATAATTAAGTGACCACTGTTCAGACACCGGTCAGAGTTGGCCATTAACTATGATATGGTTATATAAAGGTGTTAGATAATAACCATATTGAAAAAGTAGGGATTTTATATTATCTCCATTATAGTTTTAGCATAATCAATTTACATGCAATATCAACCGTCGGTAATCACAAATCAGTCTTATTCAGTATTATTTTGTCTGATTTTGTTTAAAAAGCTGTATAAAGGCAATCATGCCAGCTTTATGAAACTCCGTTTTTGGTGACTAGGCATGTGAATTTAAATTATAAAATTAATTTCATTTATTACTATTAATTACTCTCTCTATTAAATATGGGTCTATGACATTTGCTCGAAAGACACTTGCTCGAAGGACATTTGCTCGAAAAAATTAACTTAAATTATAGAATTAACTTGTTAAACCTAACCTAACTTAACCAAACTAACCTAAACTAACCTAAACTAACCTAAACTAACTCATATACTCTTATTTAATAATATTATTTGTAATACTTACTAATTTAATGTATTTAAAGCAAATTAAATGAAAAATTTTCGAGCAAATGTCTTTCGAGCAAATGTCTTTCGAGCAAATGTCTTTTGAGCAAATGTCCTTTGAGCAAATGTTTTCGAGCAAATGTCTGCTTCCCATTAAATATATACCAAGACTAACATATATCAAGTGACCCAATATTAATACTATTTAAAATGCTACTTTGTAAATTGAATTCAATTGAACAATTTAAATTGGTACAATAAAAGAGTAAGATTACTGGTAAATTAGAAGGTTTCTATAAAATATAAATAAGATTTCAAATTTTATAAACATGTTTCAAGTTTATCATGTCCTTCGCGCACTAGGATTATTTAGAATTCGTACAAATATTATATATAATGTAATCACTCATTAAATTGTGAGATTTATTATATGATGTGACCAAGATCATCTTGAAACAAATAATATATAACATCTGGTTGTCTTAAAATATCTATATAGATTTATTAGTTATATTAAATCAGAACTAGTTAAACTAATAGATTTACCTGATTAATAGATTTGCTTAATAAATCTTGCATGTTTTTTATTAATTTAATTTATTTTAATAAAAACATCCTGATCCTACGGACACTTTCATTAACATCAATATTGATAATATCACGAGTATATCATTTTCCCTATAAATCTAAATAAAATTATTTGATAATTTTTGTATATAAGTGCCGTCGAGTTTTAATATTGTATGAGCATTCAACAAATTACATGCTGTTAACTATTTTTATAAGAATATTATTTGTATTATAAATCTTTGATCAAATCATTCTTTCTAATATGTTTTTATTTAAATATATAATGTCACTATTGGTGATAGACATTCGCACGTCTATAATAACGCTAATCATTGGTTATATAGTGTATAAATTAGCAAGGTTTTACCACTTGAGATCTAAATTACCTCCCGGTCCGCACCCATTACCGCTTTTGGGAAATCTATTGCGTAAATAATTCACCTGAAAATTGTTAAATATTAGTTTATAAATGTTTAATTATATTTTGAAACAGTATTCAAATCCAAAGATCATTGGGATCTTGTATTCCGACGGCTGTCCAAAGAATATGGCCCCGTATTTACCTTCTGGTTCGGGACAACACCTCAAGTAGTAATAACTGACATCGATTTGGGAAGAGATGCCTTCAGGAGAAATGATATGGCCGGTCGTAATACGGATTCTTATTTTGGTAAATATTGATTTATTAATAAAATTATTATACAAATGTATAATTTTATATTTTTAAATAATTAATAATTATTAATTATTAATGTAAAAATAGGGTCTCAAATGTCTAACGAGAAATTTCAAGACGTGGTGTTCACTGATTACGGGCCTCAATGGGAGGCGTTGAGACGTGTGGCACATTCGGCCGTACAGTATGTCATAAATAAATAAATACTTTATAAAAAATTATTTTCAATATTTTTATCAAATAATAGGAAATACTCGGTAAACGATAGATTAATTTCTGTGGCCACCGATTGTGTCGACAAAACAATTAAAACAATTTTAGATAAGGAAGGAGTGAACAAACCCTTCTCTCCGAGTGATTACATTTATTTAATGTTTCTAAATATTTTAGCCACAAGTACTGTCGGAGAAACGTAAGTGATTTTGTCCTAGATAATACTGTATATTAAAATAATAATACTGTACATTACATTTTAACAACATTTAGCTATGACTTGGAGAATAAAGAGTTTCAATTTTTTAAATATTTTTTGCGGGATTTTGCTCGAGAAGTCGGGAATCGGTTTCTGTTGTGGGAATTCTCACCGATAGTCAGATTTTTTGACAGAAAATTGGTTACAAAACATAAGGGATTGTTCACAAAAGCCATTGCTCTCGTCAAAGGAAAGTATACCAAACATTATGAAGACTATAACGAGTCAATTGAGAGAGACTTTTGCGATGCACTCATCAGTGCTAAGAATGACGCCCTCAGTTGATGACATACTATCCGGAAATGCAGCAGAAGTTGAGACAAGAGATTGAGTCCCAAATCGGAGACCGAATGCCAACACATGAGGACAGGAATCGATGCCATTATGTCATGGCTTTCATCGCAGAGACCATGAGATTCAGAAATGTTGTGCCCACTGGACTTCCGCATAGAACTCTTGTTGATACAAAACTTGGTAATAAATTTTAACTAATTAGAATTACTTAATATTTGTAAATTTAACTACTGTATATTAAAGATATTATATTTTCATTTTAGATAAATACACAATACCTGAAAATATGTCAGTTATGGTATATCAGGGAATCGTATGCCGTAATGACAAGGATTGGCAAAATGGCAATGAATTCAAACCCGAGAGGTTTATTGATAGTGAAGGAAAATACATGACAACCCGTCCCAAAGCATTCATCCCCTTCGGTGTGGGCCGTCGTGTCTGTGCGGGAGAGAAGTTAGCCATCGCTGACCTGTTCCTGGTTTTGAGTCGATTCCTTCAGTCCACACAAGACTATAATATAGTGCTCGACAGTAACGATGGTATTGAATATAATCCAAATGCAGTGGAAAACTTGGGTCCTCCAGATTATAAAATTAAATTTGTTAAATTGTAATTTATTGAATTTTTTGTCATAAAAATTATTTTACATTTTATATTATTTTTAAGATTTGTAATTATTTAAAGTTATAAAGTCATTCACATAATTAGTACAAATAAACGACTAAACTTATTTGATTTTAAATCAATATTAAAATTACTTCATATTAACTCAACATTTGGTTTGCTATTTTTACAACTATTGGTACTTCTAGTGTTACTACAATAATGAGATTAATTTTATTATTTAAGGTTACATTTCTGGGCACCAGAAACTAAGTGTCGTAAAGGATAATTGGTTTTTACATTAGAAATTTTAAAAATGTGTCAGTCGGAATTTAAAAAACTTAGCTCAAAATATTTTTCTTATAATAATAATAATAATAGTTTATTAAATTTAAGAACATGCCCGAAATAATACATGAGTATTTAAAAAAACAAGTTAATTCGCTTAACAAATTGAATTGAAGTTGGATTGAAAATATTTTTACAATACATATGTTTGGAGTTATTATTTGGTTATTTGGATTCACTATTTGGGTTTAAATTATAAAATTAATTTCGTTAAAATATCTCTATTAGATTTATACAAAATTATATCAAGTGACCCAATATTAATACTATTTAAAATGCTACTTTGTGAATCGAATTCAATTGAACAAATTAAATTGGTACAATATAAAAGTAAGATTACTGGTACAGTATAAGGTTTTGATGAAACATAAATAAGTGTACAAATTTTATAAACATGTTTCAAGTTTATCATGTCCTTCGCGCACTAGGTTTATTTAGAATTCGTACAAATGTTCTGTTAGTGTAATCAATCATTAAATTGTGCGATTTATTATACGAATGTGACCAAGATCTTGATCTTGAAACAAATAATATATATAACATCTAGTTGTGTTAAAATGTCTATATAGATTTATATTAGATCAGAACTAGTTTAATTAATAGATTTAGCTGATTAATAGATTTGCTTGATAGATCGTGCATGTTTTTATATTAATTTAATTTAGTTTAACAAAAACATCCTGATCCTACGGACACTTTCATTAACATCAATATTGATAATATCACGAGTATAGCATTTTCCCTATAAATCTAAATAAAATTATTTGACAATTTTTGTATATAAAAGCCGCCGAGTTTTAATATTGTATGAGCATTCAACAAATTACATTTTATTAACTAGATATTTTTATAAGAATATTATTTGCATTATAAATATAAATCTGTGAACAAATAATTTCTACTAATATGTTTTTATTAACAAATATAATATCACTATTGATGTTAGACATTCTCACGTCTATAATAACGCTAATCATTGGTTATATTGTGTATAAATTGGCAAAGTTTTACCACTTGAGATCTAAATTACCTCCCGGTCCGCACCCGTTACCGCTTTTGGGAAATCTATTGCGTAAATAATTCACCTGAAAATTGTTAAATATTAGTTAATAAATGTTTAATTATGTTTTGAAACAGTATTCAAATCCAAAGATCATTGGGATCTAGTATTCCGACGGCTGGCCAAAGAATATGGCCCCGTATTTACCTTCTGGTTCGGGACAACACCTCAAGTAGTAATAACTGACATCGATTTGGCGAGAGATGCCTTCAGGAGGAATGATATGGCCGGTCGTAATACGGACTCATATTTTGGTAAATATTGATTTATTAATAAAATTATTATACAAATGTATAATTTTATATTTAAAATAATTATTATGTGTAAAAATAGGGTCTCAAATGTCAAACGAAAAATTTCAAGACGTGGTGTTTACTGATTACGGGCCTCAATGGGAGGCGTTGAGACGTGTGGCACATTCGGCCGTACAGTATGTCATAAATATGTAAATACTTTATATAAATTATTTTCAATATTTTTACCAAATGATAGGAAATACTCAGTAAATGATAGACTGATTTCTGTGGCCACCGATTGTGTCGCCAAAACAATTAAAACAATTTTAGATAAGGAAGGAGTAAACAAACCCTTCTCTCCCAGTGATTACATTTATTTAATGTTTTTAAATATTTTAGCCACGAGTAATTTCGGAGAAACGTAAGTGATTTTGTTTTAAATTATATATTAATATAATAATACATTAAATTTTAACGACATTTAGCTATGACTTGGAAAATAAGGAGTTTCAGTTTTTTAAATATTTTTTGCGGGATTTCGCTCGAGAAGTCGGGAATCGGTTTCTATTGTGGGAATTCTCACCGATAGTCAGATTTTTTGACAGAAAATTGGTTACAAAACATAAGGGATTGTTCACTAAAGCCATTGCTCTCGTTAAAGGAAAGTATACTAAACATTATGAAGACTATAACGAGTCAATTGAGAGAGACTTTTGCGATGCACTCATCAGTGCTAAGAATGACGCCCTCAGAGACGGCAAAGAGTCGGCCCCTTATCTCACGGACGCCAACCTAACGATGGCTATCTTAAATATATTCCTCGCCGGAACCGATACCTCTCAGCAGACATTTCAATGGATTGTACTTCTGATGACATATTATCCAGAAATGCAGCAGAAATTGAGACAAGAAATTGAGTCCCAAATCGGAGACCGAATGCCAACACATGAGGACAGGAATCGATGCAATTTTGTAATGGCTTTCATCGCAGAGACCATGAGATTCAGAAATGTTGCGCCCACTGGACTCCCGCATAAAGCCCTTGTTGATACAAAACTTGGTATTAAATTTTAATACATTATAAAAATATTTGGAAAGTTAACTAAATTTTTGATTTTGATTTTAGATAAATATTCAATACCTAAAAATATGACAGTTCTTGTATACCACGGAATCATATGCCGTAATGACAAGGATTGGCAAAATGCCAATGAATTCAAACCCGAGAGGTTTATTGATAGTGAGGGACAGTTCATCACAACCCGTCCCAAAGCATTGATACCCTTCGGTGTGGGCCGTCGTGTCTGTCCGGGAGAGAAGTTAGCCATCGCTGACCTGTTCCTGGTTTTGGTCCGATTCCTTCAGTCCACACAAGACTATGATATAGTGCTCGACAGTAACGGTGGTATAGAATTCAATCCCAATACTCCGGAACATTTGGGTCCTCCAGAATATAAACTCAAATTAATTAAATTATAGTTTTTATTAATTCATTATGCATTATTGTTGTTAATACATATTTACATTAAATTTTGTTTAACATGTTAATTAATAAACCAACAATAAAATTAACAAAATAAATGATAATTAAACCACTATCAGAATAATTTATTTTTACACACAATGAACGTGTAACATTTGAACCACATTGTTACTTTTAAGACTAATTAACATTTCTAATTAATGTGAGCAATTTGTAAACAACAAATATTTTCACTGATATATTTATCATATATTTAATTGATTATGTTTAAGTCTAAGCTGTCTTTAATGTACTAAAGGAAAGTCTATAGTCTAATCAAATAATTACAAGGATGTTTTTATATAAAGTATTTATTCTACAGTATATTATCAGAAAATAGTTACTACAATGCTTTGAATAAATGTCATAGGCATTTAAAAAATACTTAAACTGTAAATATGATTTTATTATGTGACTTCAAAAAGTATAGTAATTAACTAAATGCAAATTAATGTGATGTATAAATTAAATTATTTTAAAGTGTTTTACTTTATCTAACTTTGTACAATATTAAGATATTTATTGGAGAACTTTTTGTTTACAATCACGTTGAAATGAAATAAAAATATAATCGATGTGACCTTGAAGATATTGTTAACTTTTGTATAAAATGCTGTAATTGCCTGTCATTATTTTAAAATCAACATAATTCTTGTTGAATACTCAATACGTTAAATCCCATCTTATTTTACCAGATATAAATATTTGATTACAAAAATGTCCATGTTAACAACGATACTATCACTATTAATAGCGGATATTCGCACCACAATAATAACTTTAATAATAAGTTATATTGCATATAAATTAGCAAGATTTTATTATTTCCGGTCTAAACTGCCTCCCGGGCCAAACCCTTTGCCACTTTTAGGCAACATTTTATGTGAGTATATATTGATTAATAAAATATTAATTAATTAATTAAAACTAAAATTTTAAACAGTATTCAAACGGAAAGATCATTGGGATGTAGTGTTCAGAGAACTGACCAAAAAATATGGCCCGATATTCACCTTTTGGTTCTTCAATAGACCACTAGTGGTCGTGACGGACATAGAGTTGGCCAGAGAGGCCTTCCGGAAGAATGACTTCGCCGGCAGAGACATAGCATTTATTGGTAAATATCTGTTTATAAAATGAATTTAATTATGAAATAATTTAGTTATAAAATTTTGTTAAACAGCGAATCTATTGTCTAATGATAAGCACTCAGACGTGATATTTTCCGATTACGGGCACAGATGGGAAGCGTTGAGACGAGTGGCACATTCGGCCGTACAGTATGTAGCGATTTAATGATGTTGGTTATTAGTAATTATATTTTTACATTAATAATTAAACAGGAAATATTCGATAAATGAAAGACTAGTCTCTGTGGCCACCGATTCAGTCGATCGTACGGTTAAAGCAATGTTAGAGAGGGAAGGAGTGGGCAATGGTTTTGATCCCAGAAGTTATATCTATTTAATGTTTCTCAACATATTAGCCACCAGTGCTTTCGGCATTAGGTTTGTATTTATTGAATATTAATATTATTATTAAATATAAATAATTTAAATATGATTTTAAATATTTATATAGTTATGAATTTGAAGACAAAGAATTCAAATTTCTTAAATATGTGTTAAAAGACTTCGGACAAGAACTCGGCGCTCGAGTATTCTTATGGGAATTCTCACCAATATTGAGATTATTGGATCGAAAACTGGTTAATAAAAATAAGGACCTTGCTAATGAGTTAATTGCTTTAGTTAAGGATAAGTTTACAAAACATTACGACGACTATAACGAGTCGATTGAGAGAGACTTTTGCGATGCACTCATCAGTGCTAAGAATGACGCCCTCAGAGACGGCAAAGAGTCGGCCCCTTATCTCACGGACGCCAACCTCGCGATGACTGTTATGGACCTATTCTTCGCCGGAACCGATACCTCTCAGCAGACATTTCAATGGATTCTACTTCTGATGACATACTATACAGATATGCATCAAAAGTTGAGACAAGAGATTGAGTCCCAAATCGGAGACCGAATGCCAACACATGAGGACAGGAATCGATGCCATTATGTCATGGCTTTCATCGCTGAGACACTGAGATTCAGAAATATCGTACCCCAGGGTTTGCCCCATAAGGCTATTGTCAGGAGTACTATCGGTAAAAACAGATATATTTTAAAAATAATTTAAAGTAATTTTTAAAACTAATTTTAGGCGATTACACAATACCTGAAAAGATGCAAATTCTTGTATATCAGGGAATCATATGCCGTAATGACAAGGATTGGCAAAACGCCGATGAATTCAAACCCGAGAGGTTTATTGATAGTGAGGGACATTTCATAACTACCAGACCTCAAGCCTACATACCCTTCGGTGTGGGCCGTCGGGTCTGTTTGGGCGAGAAGTTAGCCATCGCTGACCTGTTCCTCGTTTTGGTCCGATTTCTTCAGTCCACACAAGACTATGAGTTAGTCCTCGACAGCCATAAAGGCATTGAAGCCGATCCTAATGTTTCGGATGCCTTCAATCCGTGTGATTATAAAATTGCATTAAAAAAGAAATAATAAATTTTCACCTTTTTATTAAAATAATTATGTATTTTACAACTTTTAACTGATATTAATTTGTTTTTACAATAAAAGTAATTTGCTTTTTTGTTAGGATTTAATGCTAACAAATCCTTACAATTGTTTATTATAACTGTATAATATAATTAAATTTTCATAATTAAAACATGGTAAATGTAGTTTTATCATCAAGTGCGCTTACCAATTGTAATATTGATTTACTAGTAACTTAATAGAGAAGGCAATAAAAATTTATTTGATCTGGGAAGAATTATGTACAAACAGTAGATGTCGCCATATGTTAGCACTAGTTGTGTTTACTAACACTGTTTACAGTTAATGTTGAATGTCACTTGGCACATTATTTAACTGTGTTTAAATAACTAAAAGTAAAAATGTCATTATTAACAAAATTAATATCATTATTAATGGCTAATATCAGTACAATTATAATAACCCTAATAATAGGCTATTTTGCATATAAATTAGCAAGGTTCTATCATTTACGGTCGCAACTGCCTCCCGGACCGCATCCGTTGCCAATAGTGGGCAATATTTTACGTGAGTATTGAATGATAACCAAAACTAATTAACATTTATTTAAAATCTTTTAACTTTTTAAACAGTATTCAAACGGAAAGATCATTGGGATGTAGTGTTCAGAGAACTGGCCAAACAATACGGCCCGGTATTCACCTTTTGGTTCTTCAATAGACCACAAGTTGTTGTGACAGATATAGTGATGGCCAGAGAGGCGTTCCGGAAGAATGACTTCGCCGGTAGAGACCTATCATATATCGGTAAAAATGTTTATAATATGGATTTAAATAAGATTTAATTTTAATCAAATGACATCTATGTTAAATAGCGAGTATGTTTGCTAACGAGAAGCGCTCAGACGTGGCGTTTGCTGATTACGGGCACAGATGGGAGGCGTTGAGACGAGTGGCACATTCGGCCGCACAGTATGTCTCCGTTTAGGAAGTTTTGATTACGAGAATATGTTTTAAATAATTATTTTTAATATCAGGAAATATTCAATAAATGAAAAGCTAGTCTCTGTGGCCACCGATTCAGTCGATCGTACGGTTAAAGCCATGTTAGACAAGGAAGGAGTGGGCAATGTTTTTAATCCCAAGAATTATGTCCTTTTGCTATTTCTAAACATATTGGCCACCAGTGCTTTTGGACAGAGGTTTGGTTTATTGAATGCACAGAATATTATTTTTATTAATTTTAAATTTTTAAATAATTTAGTTATGAATTTGAAGACAAAGAATTCAAATTTATTAAATATGTGTTAAAAGACTTCGGACAAGAACTCGGCGGTCGGGCTTTTCTATGGGAATTCTCGTCAATAATTAGATTATTGGACAGAAAAATGGTTCAGAAAAATGAAAGACTTGTTGAAGAATTTTTAACTTTAATTAAAGATAAGTTTACTAAACATTACGACGACTATAACGAGTCAATTGAGAGAGACTTTTGCGATGCACTCATCAGTGCTAAGAATGACGCCCTCAGAGACGGCAAAGAGTCCGCACCCTATCTGACCGATGAGAACCTCTCGATGACTATCTTTGACATGTTCTTCGCCGGAACCGATACCTCTCAGCAGACATTTCAATGGATTTTACTTCTGATGACATACTATCCGGAAATGCAGCAGAAGTTGAGACAAGNCTTCTGATGACATACTATCCGGAAATGCAGCAGAAGTTGAGACAAGAGATTGAGTCCCAAATCGGAGACCGAATGCCAACACATGAGGACAGGAATCGATGCCATTATGTCATGGCTTTCATCGCAGAGTCTCTTAGATTCAGAAATATCGTACCCCAGGGTTTGCCCCATAAAGCTATGGTTAGGAGTACTATCGGTAAGAATTATATACAGAATATGAAAATAATTTAAGTAACATATATTTTTAAAATTTTTTTAGGCAATTATACAATTCCTGAGAAAATGGGAATTGTTGTATACCAGGGAATTATATGTCGTAATGACAAGGATTGGCAAAACGCAGAAATATTCAAACCCGAGAGGTTTTTGGACAGTGAGGGGCAGTATTTGGTTACCAAACCAAAAGCCTATATACCCTTCGGTGTGGGCCGTCGGGTCTGTTTGGGTGAGAGGTTAGCCATCGCTAACTTATTTCTGGTTTTAGTGCGATTACTTCAGTCCACACAAGACTATGAGTTAGTCCTCGACAGCCATAACGGCATTGAAGTCGATCCTAATGTCGCCGATTCTTATTATCCGTGCGCTTATAAAATAGCATTAAAACCAAAATAATTAATTACATCTTTGATTTTCAATTATTACTAAAATTTTAAAAAATATTTATTTATTTAATAGTACCGTATATCATTTTATCATTAACTATACTTTAATGTAAAATAAAATCATATTTTATTTGTCATTTTATTTAACTTATATGTAACAGATTAATTAATATTAGAATTATAAACACATTATTATTAATTTTGAAATTTATAATATTTTATAAACAACACTAACGTAAGTTGTGATTTAATAATATTAATATACACTAATACAGTAATACCCTTAGGTTTTGCCTATTGCGGTGAATACCTGCCTTGTCCTGAAATAAATCACTTTTCCTGCACTAATAAAGTATCCAATGCTATAAGTGATAGCCTATAACCCCGTTTTGTCTTTTTTCTGTACAGGAGTGAAGGATTACATGAGTATAGGACAGCATTCAGGACCAGAATTTGGAGGAATACTAACGAATCAAATAGAAATGTGTTTTCAGTCAAAACCAGGCAATTGGCAGAAAGTAGTACTCTATTCATAAACAGTATCTATCAGTCGATAAACTTATTAAACGACAACAATAGAGAAATTCAATGTACTCTTAAATAGACTTAAATCTAATGATAGATATTTATATAAATTTTATAAAATAAAACAAAATTGAATTCCGGATATTCATGTATGTTAAGCACCAAACAGTTAACTGAAAATGTTGTCAACACATTTATATTATGAACGAATTACAGCACTTATCACTATTAGGAATTATTGATAATTTTGCATGAGTTACTTAACTTAAGTCACTAAGGTTCTCACAGTCTCTAATGTACTAACGTCACTTTAGTAACGCATAGGGTCTCAAAAATGATAACAAGGTCATTTTTACTTTATAATGGAAAGTGTTGTAAAAGGCAAAAATATACATGACAAGCACACAGTATTCTCATATCTGTATTTATATTGTTATTATAATTTATTTATTTTAAATAAAGTTATAAAGGTAATATATTTTGAATTAAAATAGACTAAACAAAATAATAATATATTTTTTTATCGATATCGTAACTTGTTAATTAATTATTAATAGAATTTAAATTGTTTTTATTGTATTAACAATATTATCAATTGTGCATAATGTGTTTATAATTAAAAATTACACAATCAAATAATTGTTGTGACCTTCGGAGATAAAAATGTGTATAAAAGAAGCGAGAGTCAAGAATATTAGTTTATAGTTGTTTTTACAATTGCAATATTTAGTGCATTAAGTTAATTCATATTGTATTTAATATTTGAATGTAAAAATGTCCATGTTAACAACATTAATCTCGCTATTAGTGTCGGATATTCGCACCACCATATTAACGTTAATTATAGGCTATATAGCATATAAATTAGCAAGGTTTTATCATTTCCGGTCGAAATTACCTCCCGGTCCAAATCCGTGGCCAATCGTCGGCAATATATTGCGTGAGTAACTAAAATAAAACAAATAAATAATTATTTATAGCATTAAACTTTTAAACAGTATTCCGACGGAAAGAACATTGGGATGTAGTGTTCAGAGAACTGACCAAAAAATATGGCCCAATATTCACCTTTTGGTTCTTCAATAGACCACTAGTTGTTGTGACGGACATCGAGACGGCCAGAGAGGCCTTTCGGAAGAATGACTTCGCCGGCAGAGATATGTCTAATATTGGTAATTATTTTATAAATATAGTCTTGTTTAAATAAAATTTGATAAATTAGGATTCAACTATATGATAAATTAAATAACTATTATTACTATTAGCTGGTCAATTTTCAAATGATAAACAGTCGGATGTAATATTTACCGATTACGGGCACACGTGGGAGGCGTTGAGACGAGTGGCACATTCGGCCGTACAGTATGTATCATTTTTCTCGAAGTTATATACAAATAACTTGTATAAGTTAAATAAAATTATGTTATATTAAATCAATTAAATAAATAGGAAATATTCAATAAATGAAAGACTAGTCTCTGTGGCCACCGATTCAGTCGATCGTACGGTTAAAACCATGTTAGAGAGGGAAGGAGTCGGCAATGCTTTTGATCCCAAGAGTTATATCTACCTAATGTTTCTCAACATATTAGCCACCAGTGCTTTTGGCATTAGGTTTGTTATATTAAAATTATACATTACATATTATTAATAAATTGTTTGAAATTATTATTTAGTTATGATTTTGAAGACAAAGAATTTAAATTTCTTAAATATGCACTGAAGGACTTCGGCAAAGAACTCGGCTCTCGAGCCTTCTTATGGGAATTCTCGTCAATAATTAGATTTTTAGACCGAAAAATGGTTCAGAAAAATGATAGACTCGTCAATGAATTTATTGCGTTAATTAAGGATAAGTTTGTAAAACATTACGAAGACTATAACGAGTCAATTGAGAGAGACTTTTGCGATGCACTCATCAGTGCTAAGAATGACGCCCTCAGAGACGGCAAAGAGTCGGCCCCTTATCTCACGGACGCCAACCTCGGGATGACTGTATTGGATCTGTTCTTCGCCGGAGCCGATACATCTCAACAGACATTTCAATGGATTTTACTTCTGATGACATACTATCCGGAAATGCATCAAAAGTTGAGACAAGAGATTGAATCCCAAATCGGAGACCGAATGCCAACACATGAGGACAGGAATCGATGCCATTATGTCATGGCTTTCATCGCAGAGTCTCTTAGATTTCGAAATATCGTACCCCAGGGTTTGCCCCATAAGGCTATTGTCAGGAGTACTATCGGTAAGCATAGAAATATAGAATCAATTATCGTTAAAAAAGAATTAAAAGTAATTTTTTAAAAACTCTTTTTAGGTGATTACACAATTCCTGAAAAAATGCAAATTCTTGTATATCAGGGAATCATATGTCGTAATGACAAGGATTGGCAAAACGCAGGAATATTCAAACCCGAGAGGTTTTTAGACAGTGAGGGGCAGTATTTGGTTACCAAACCTAAAGCCTATATACCCTTCGGTGTGGGCCGTCGTGTCTGTGCGGGAGAGAAGTTAGCCATCGCTGACCTGTTCCTCGTTTTGGTCCGATTTCTTCAGTCCACACAAGACTATGAGTTAGTCCTCGACAGCCATAACGGCATTGAAGTCGATCCTAATATAAGCGAAGCCTACAATCCGTGCGATTATAAAATAGCATTAAAACAAAAATAATTACAATAATAAATAGCCATGTTATTTATTATTTTAATTATTTATTGTAATTATTATTGTAATTAGATATAAAATCAATATATTAAATACAATTTTGAGTACAAAATAAATTAATTAACATGTGTTAATTTAATAAATCTAAAATATTAACATCTTACAATAAATAATAAATATAAAATTTTTAATAACTGAAAAGTTTTAAAACTATTTATATTAATTTTTGCTAATATAAAATTGCATTAAAACAAAAATAATTAATTTCAAGTATTTTTTGTATTAATTGTTAAGTTGATTACAATATTGATTAATTAATATTTTGCTAAATGATATGACACATGCGAATCACCAATTTTTAATGCATACCATGTATGTAATTGACAATAAATGTTGCCATAACTCGGTTGTCTGTGGCCATTGGCATAACCTGACACAGAAATATTTAACTCGTGGTTACGCTCTAAACATTCATAGCAATACTTATCAGAACTGGAAATATCTTCCTGGTATAATTTAAGTAATATACATATGTATACTGTAATGAAATCAAATTCCGTATATGTATTAAACACTAAACTTTTAACGGAAAGATTTATTAAGAAACTTATTTTAATATTGAACTAAAGTATTTATCACCATTATCTATTATTGATAATTATGCTCTTTAATGTACTGAAGGACTCATGTAATGTGCATAAGAATTACAATACAATAATGTATAATATAAAGTTATGAACATGATATAAATATATTTTTATTTAACACAAAATTTAAATTTTATTAAATAAAATAATAAATATTTAGTTAATATATTTTTATAGCGGGTTATATTTAAAAAGTAATTAATTAATTTAATGTAGATTTATTTGTAATTAAAATTGTTTTTACTGTATATCTAGCTATTAAAAATATTACTAATTGTACTTAAAGTTTTTTAATCATATTTTGTTAATATGATTATCTAATTGCTACGACCTTGAGTTATAATTTAAAAAATTTGTATAAAAGTAGCGATTGTTTTTTTAGTTTATCATTGAGTTTACCATTTCAATATTTAATGTTGCTTTAGTTAACCGGTGAATGTAAAAATGTCATTATTAACAAAACTAATATCATTATTAGTGGCAAATATTCCCACAACTATAATAACTTCAATTATAAATTATGTTGTTTATAAATTAGCAAGATTCTATCACTTACGGTCGCTACTGCCTCCCGGTCCAAACCCGTTGCCAATAGTGGGCAATATTTTATGTGAGTTAATGATTGAAAATAAAACATTTGTTTAATATTTAAAACATTTAAACAGTATTCCGACGCAAAGATCATTGGGATGTAGTGTTCAGAGAACTGGCCAAACAATACGGCCCGGTATTCACCTTTTGGTTCTTCAATAGACCACTAGTGGTCGTGACGGACAACGAGACGGCCAGAGAGGCGTACAGGA